GATCAGTGGTGGTTACGCGGTAACGTACTGCTGATGCCTGATTAGCCTAAGGCACCTCCGTGCTTCCATTCTCTTTGTATTCTATTTGCACTCAACCCCTTTATCTTGCCGTTGTTATTTATTGTTATTCCTGCGATGTGAGTCGTGACCATTGGATCCACCACACTTCTACTACTGAACTGGGCTGAACCTTCAGAATGCTCATGTGCGTTGTGCTAAGATGCCTCACTGTTCTCCGTGGGAGTTGAATCAACGACATCTTTAGTCTTTGTGGGGTGTACAAAGAGCACCATGCTTACAACCTGTTATGGTAATTCTCCTTGCTTCGATGGCTAACTTTGATTAAGTTGATCGCTTATGGTAATACCTCGCTTTTTGTAAGATGTTTCTGAGGAGCTTCTCTCTATTCTACGGTTCTTCTTGCCGTTTGAGGGTCTACAGAAAACCCGCCTGTTGTTCACTAAAAATGGAGTGCGTCAGGGATGCCCTGTTTCAATCTTCATCGGCCGGTGGTCGAAAGGATTACGCGCTTGGCTTGTACTCTGAAACTCACCGGCCCGAATTCGCGGTATACTCATCCCACCATCGACTGGCGGTAATCCTGTGGCAACGAGGCGTCAGGAATACTGCTGATGCCTTTTCTTTTTTGAACTGATTATGAATGACTCCGTCCTCCCTTGCACCTTTTCTGGGGTATCAATTCCATCGCAACAAGGCTGGAGCTTAACGTGGTGCGATGGTTCACGTGCCTCAGCGATTCATTGAGCTATGCTGGGTGGTGTATTTGCACCTTCAAAACCACTCATACAAGGTTGGTCATTGGTTAGAGGCTGGATAAACAGCCTCCTGACCCTCCAGGTAGGAGTGAGGGTAGCTCCTCACTCCAGAAAAGACTCTCTGTAGCCTAGTGCTAAAACCCCGTTGCCTTGCGGTAAGGTTTTTTGATTAGATACTTTGGATGGAAACTTTACTCGTCCTATCTAGGCCTGGGCAACCTGACAATATCCTGCCCACCCAATACAATGAACTCGTCTACAGACAAACTTGATATTCTGGCCATCGCAGAGGATACTCAAGAGCGACGTATCTGCTGCATTGAGCAGAATTGGTAAGAATGAGGATACTGCTGCCCGCGCCTCCTCGTCTTCTTATCCCCCTCCTGTGCGTTTTCATCCATACCGCCCCCTACCAACTTCATTTTCTCAAACCCCCAATTCTTGGCTTTACCCTATCTTGCTTCGTTTTCCAGTTTTGACTCACACAATCGCAGGGCATCACTTTGGTCCAGTCGGCAAGTCTGCTTTCAACCAAGCGAACAACCTCGGTTCATTCGTTTCTATTCGCAGCATTCCTTCCTTGCTAAGACTGGCATTCGCTATCTGTTACAGTTTAGCCAACAGGCAGCACTTGTCCGAACACTGGAAACCCTATAAATCAATATCAGCGGTTTATCGGAAACTCACCAGAGTGATTCGACCTTTTCGCTCACTCTGCGATCCCCACAGGTGATGCTGGTAACACTTCCTCATTACACCTATCTAGAGATGACGCAGCTTCAAATACCGGTCAAGGAGAGATATCAGCAGTACGCCGGTATGCAGTACTGACGTTTCGCTGCTGCGCAACTATCGCCTCCCACGGGTGGGCTAAGGATACTGCGAGGGTTGCCCGGTCTCCTACGCAGACCCGAATCCGCGCCGTTTAGGCTACGGGCGCAATGCCGGCCAAGGAAGTGTGGTTAGGGTTCTGAGCTCCGGGGCTGAAGCTGCTTCGATTGATTGCATACCGGTCAACAGACGGAGGGCCGCCGTTCAATTGGCTGGTTCCTTTAAAAGCTTGAAGTGGCGCGGGACTAATACGTGCCGTTTGTCATTGTTTGGGTACTCCCCCACAAATGTAGCGCGGACTCGGAGCAGATGACTTATATCACTAAATGAGCGAGCTTCTTCACCGAAAGAGTGCAGCTACTGTAGTGTCGGCTGCTGATCTGAACGCCCAAGATGAAATATTACACACTGATAAGCTGCATCTGGGCGGCTAATACGGTGTAGGCTCCCGTAATTAATGGTTGCTCATCTATTCCTCGCCAGTACTAACTTCCGACAGAGCACCCGCAGAGAAGTAACATGGCGTCCACCAGCCATGGACGCAAATTGATTAATCACATCGCGAACAATCACCGTCGGAGGGGCTGTGTTCAAAACTGTCGCTCAATTTGGAACATGGACGTGAACTCCAACTATGCACTTGTAAACGACGATCTCCGAATTCGATTCGGTGGACACCCGCGACTACGCTGTAAGCGCCGAGACACTTGCCAACTGGTGAAGTCAGTTGTTATGAGTTCATACCAAACTGCGCTGGCATGCAAGTTGAGTTAGTGCTCACGGAACACAATTGAGGGTCATTGGTCCCATATCCACTAGACGTTATTAGCAGCAGGCATGACTTCATATGCCAAACCAAACTGCCAGCCTGGACATCGGGTCTCTACGTAGTTTCGATGCGGTCCGGTTGGAAGCGAACACATGCAGATACGTAAAGACATTTGTGCTAACCTGAAGAGAGGCCTTGAAACCTGGTGGTCTCATCGTGCACCTGAGGTGGAAATGGCTGTTGGCCTTGGTAACAATGTTATTCGGCCTGATACGAGTAACGGGCAGCAGGAGACCTGGTGTTGCCGAAACTATATGCGAGGAGGTTGAACAATCTATTCACAGTGCTTAGAGCGTTGGGCCGCATACTTTGAAAAGCAGTTCACTCAGGCAAAATCACTAGCTTCCATGTCGGTCATTGGCAGTCCTTCTCCCCGGAACCATCCCTTTAGTTCCGCCCTCTCGCAGAAGTTGAACGCGAGATCGGACTGTTGAAACCCCTTTTAAATTCAGACAACCCGCTATTGTGTATGACGTGCAGGAGTTGCGGCAATCGTAGAGGGTTCTGTTCGATTTGTTACTTCTGTCGTTCCCCATAGAATGACAGATTTGCGAGCAGCAAGCCAGATTTCTTCGAAGTCGGAGCTGTGTTGAACACTTCTTCACATTGCGTTAGTTACTGGAACACCGCATATCTACTGGCGACCCACCGTAGTCGTGTTCTTCGACATCAAAAGTGCCATCGATTCGGTGGATTGATGTGCCCTTTGAGACTGTCTGCTCAGGAAGTGTGCCCGATAAATATGCAATGTCATAAAACCGCTGTACGCGCGAAGTTCGGGCAGGATGACAAACTGTCGCCGCCCTTTAATATCTCCAGAAGTGTGAGACAAAATTGCCCGTTGTCACCTTTCTTTTTAACTTCGCTATCGACGAACTCATGGAAACTGCATTGTACTTGTAATGTTTTCTTCCTAGTTGCTCACAAGCTACATAGCACAGCCTAGTCCGAAAAAGCACCAGACGCGTTTCGCCCTATTGGGGCTCGTCAGTGGTGCGCATTCCTTCGGTCCCCTACTGGGGATCGAACTCATGACCGCTAGAGGTAGATGCCAACTAGCCAGCAGCCTAAGCCATGGGGGACGTCGGCTAGGCTACATAATTTCAAGCTAACTGGGATATAGCACGACCTATCTTCCACTGCCACGCAGGTTACTACCTTAGCAGATGACAGTGGCTAGCCTCCGAAAGTCATGACTTCCTCTCACTAGACGCTACGTCCATAGCATTTGAAACTAGGAGAGGCTCCATTTTATATTACTAATGAGTAGGAGGATTTTTTAATTGTAATTGTAATGTTTTCGTCCTAGCTGCTCACAAGCTACATAGCACGGCCTACAAGATGTGGAACTTCTCCCCGGTGATCGATTTCTTAACTTGTAGTACACTGACGACATTGCCGTAGTCTGTGATGGCTTACTAACGTGCCAAACAGCTCTGAACAAATTAGCACTGGCTGTCAGCCATTTCTGGCTATTTTGAACCCACGAAATGCAGTTCCCCAAGAGTGACAAGGACCAACTCTTGGCGGTGACCAGCTAGAATTTGTTCAGGAATTCAATTACCTCGACAGCCATATTAGCGTCATATTGCAAAGGCTCGAGGCGCTTTTGCCAATCTCCGCCACCTGTGGCGCCGGTGCGACATCACTCTCGCTTTGTTTGACAGTTTACAACGCATGCGTGCGTTGAACCTTACGGTACGACTGCGAAACCTAGCCTATCAGATCGACAGACACAAAGAGGCTAATCACGTCCGATTATCGATGCTTTCGCAGCTTAGCTCATGTCTGGTGGGAGCACCGCGTGAGCAGTGAGCGTCTTCGGCACCGTGTATTCAGTCAGGAAGAGCAAGTGAACCGCTCAGTACCGTTATCTCACACAACAGGCTCCGATGACTGGGCCATGTGTTGCGCATGCCAGCACACCGATTCCCGCGACGTGCGTTGTCTGCAGGACCGGGTGGAAGAAGAGAACTGGTGGCCAGATGACGGTCGGCTGGTGGCTCCCGATTGCGATGCTAGAGTCCGAAGGACGATGTACGCATTTGGATATAGTTGGTGACATGGTGAAGATTCGATCACAATGACGTTCATGTTGTTTTTCTTTTCTCTCCCCTCCCTTTTATTTGCCCCTTCCAAGCACGACTTAACTCTGGTTATTATATATTGTTTTCGGTTTTTTTATTTTACTTTACATTCTGTTATGATTATTGTTGCACTTTTTCATATGTTATCTTTTTGAATTGCAGCACAGAAGTTGTGTTTCTCGTCTCTGATGATATGAGGTAGCAATTCTGTTAGGTGACCGACCGTGGGACGATATATCTTCCTTTAAATCGAATTCAGCAACTATGCAAGCGCTGCTAAGTGGGATGACGCATAGCGTATGTGCTTTACACAGAAATTGTAAAGTGCCGCCATAGGACTAAGACTACACGCTACAATCATCTGTGAACCACTCAATCAGTTCTCACAAAGCCTCAAGTTGAAAAACTTGCCGTCTTATTTTTACAATCTGGTTTTACTCTTTTTCATCCTTTTGCACTTTTCCGTCTGCCTTTCAGCGTCGTTCTTCCCGCTAGCATTGGCACGTCTCAGCAATTAGGAGCCTACACTTTCAGGGGCTTTGGATCTCACAGCTCTCGTTCAACGAAGGCTTATTTGAACGCCGCGTCCGCAGTGGGCCAGACTGAAGAGGAAGTGGATCTATTTTTGGCCAAGCTACATAAAGTCTTGGAGCAGTTTAAGGGGACTCTTAAAAAGGGGTCCTAAGCCTGTTATGTATTTCCTTCTCAACATCCAGTCATGTACATAACCATTGACCCGCCCGCCTCTCTCCAAACCTGATACTTTTGATTTGTTGATATAGTACTTATTGAACTTCGTTTTTTTCGCGGTGATGCCGGCCAGTGGCCTAATGGCTCACAAGGCTGCGTTGTAATCCGAGGGCGCGGGTTCGAGCGTGCGTAGGGGACCGGACGACCCTGGCAGTGTTTTTAGCCCACGCGCGACTGATTGTTGCGCGGCAGTACTGCCTACCACTGATACATGGTAGTTGTTTATTGATGCCGTTTTAGCACAATGCCGGAAATCCGTTTGGCGAGTCGATGTTCGTTGCTGATTGCTGCTTATCTGTTAGCATGGCACGTCTTGGGACCGTCTAGCGACTGCCGAATATTGTTAGGGAAAATATTCTCGTTCTACCTACTTGAAACTACATTGTTGTTTACTGAGGGGGAACGCGCAAAAATCCACATGTGGCATCGTTATGACACCCCGACCGGTAGTGTAAACCAAGTGGAGTGATGCATGTGGCAGCTTATAAGTGACAGATGTTTACGACAGAAAACCATTGATCGGGGTATTTCCCAGATTCTGGCTCTGGGGCCATCTGACTGAGTGCCGTCATGCTACCGTCCATTTTTTTAAAATTCTCACTGGTTGGTGCGTCGTTCACGTTCACCCTACAATGGTTAGTTTCGCGTGAGGTTTATTTTCTTCATGAGCTTCTTTGAACGAACTCAACTAATGTGATTGGTAATCATTTAAGGGGAAAATGCAGAAAACGAAGACGATCCGGGGCTTTGCGGTAAGGCTATGTTGGATTTGAATGTTGTACAAGATGGTCGTGTGTATGCTATCAAAATCTACGTGCCATTACATTTAAGTCACAAACCACAGCGGTTAACGACCTGTTTCCACGGAAACAAATGGCATCAAGTAAGCCGCCGCACTGTCACCTACAACAGACGGTAAGACCATAGAATTCCATCTAGTGGCAATATGTTAGGTTAGGATGTTTAATCGGAGAACAAATGAAACTGGCATTACGGATTGCGCTATTCAGATAGTGTGAGGTTATCACAATGTCACAGCCAAATAACGAAATCATCTGGAGGATGTAGGCCAGCAAATGGATGGTACGAGAAACAGACAACTAGTCGTATGTCCGTCTCTAGCTGGCTAACAAAGGTAAGCTTATCCCGCTTCATGTTAGCTCGGAAGGTATCTCCGACGTAAAGCATCGGTAATTCATGCGATGTGAAATGCGACGACATTATGAGTGCAGTATACGCGGATGACTAGGCTTTTACCTATAAGTAGTGGGATGGGGGTTTGTGCTTCATGTGGTTCGAAGGAATGTGCCAACTCTGAGGAGCTATCCGGTGTTTTACCAGTTATGCGGGTTTTGTCATCGTTGAATCCACTCAAGTAGATGCCCAGTGAGGTCAACCAAAGAGACGAATTGAGGAGGAAAATCATACATAAGGGCACAAGCGGTCACCCCGCAACATAAATGCGCATGCTCTCCGATTATAACGGCATAACGTGCATGTGTATGCATTGGTGTTTTCAATAAAACGGACGGTATTGGCCACACTTCGTCTGAACTGGTAGCTTAGTACGTTTCAAAATGTGGAACATTCTGTGATTCATCAAGAACACCAGTCTCAGGCAAACAATTCATCTACGGGCCGGTACTAATCATAAGGTTAAAATACGAAGGTAAATGCACGGTGACTGGTTCGGATGTAGGTCAATAATTAGACAGCAGATAGTTGGTCACTGTCTTGCATACACACAGATCGATAGGTGTTACATACTCCAACTGACGACGCCGGTGTCAGAGTGACGGTTAGATTGACTGCTGTTCGGCCAGGACAGACTTAGCGCTTGAACAAACTTCTTTTGTGGGCATTCGTAGGCACAGACCCTTCGAGTTGTTCAAGGGGACCTGGTAAACCACAGTAAATGCATTCGGAAGGTTAACCCTGTGACCTGATTCGGATAGGTGAGAGAATTCCGCACTGGAGTTTTGGCAAACGGGATTCTCTCCCACCTACTCGAATCAGGTCAGAGGGTTAACTTTCCGAACGCATTTACTGTGGTTTACCAGGTCCCCTTGAACAATTCGAAGGGTCTGCGTTTACGAATGCTTGCCACAGCAGAAGCTATTGCGATCCGAATATTCCAACCTCCGCCATGCTCACAAAAGAAGTTTGTTCAAGGGCTAAGTCTGCCCTGGCCGAACATCAGTCAATCTAACCGTCACTCTGACACCGGCGTCGTCAGTTGGAGTACGTAACACCTATCGATCTGTGTGAATGTGCAAGAAAGCGACCAACTATCTGTTGTCTAAGCATTGACCTACATCCGAACCAATCACCGTGCATTTGCCCTCGTATTTTAATCTTATATAATTTGTACCGGCCCGTAGATGGATCATTGGAAACAAGTGTTTGCCTCAGACCGGTGTCCTTGAAGAACTGGTAGTATCAGGAAAAAAGTCGTCTAAAAGTATGAGATCAATCCACAGACTGAGACTGGAAGCTTAGCGAATCCTAAGAACGCTAGTACTTCAGTGGCTCATTCGTTCGCTGAACTTGGCAATTTGTTTACAAACGGTTCACTACCATGCAGTGGCATCGTCAGTGCGCTAGGATGCTGGACCCGCGAGATCGTCAAGGCTGGGAAATGCGTTGATGATTGAGGGAGAAGTTGGTTATGTCCGAAGTATCCTGATCGATGCTCAAGTGCAAGCTACGAATCGGCAAATTTTCAATTTTCCATCAGAACCTGCTGCAAGTTTCGTTGCAAAACAGGTTGGCTTTCGTGCCCAGAAGACAACAATTCGACTATGACACATACAAATTTGTCGGTAGTCTTTGAGCAGCGAATGAATTGCACGCCGGTTCGGCCCAGGGGGTAAATTATTACCGCGCATCGGACTGCGGTGGATCCCGTTACCGTAAGATAAAATGAACGGGACGAAGTTAGCTGGCTACGATCTGCAGTAAGAAAACTGAAACGCGCAACGATAGGCCTTTCTGCTGGCCCGACGAATCCTAGCAGAGGTTAAAACTGTGATTATGTGCATCAGTTTATGGGTGTACGGGGCTGTACAAAGAAAGGCGATATTGTAACAAGACTATGGTGGAAATAACTCAGCAAGATGAAATTTCTCCGAGGCTGGCGCATCCGAAGACCCAAGGTCATTTGGTCCTCGCTTGCGCATGGCAACCATATAGCGTGAATTGCGGGAATTGAGTATCTATAGAAAAAGGACGACAAGTAGTGAACATAGTCTGCAGAATTCAGCACAAACGAAGTCCAAACGAGGAAGGTTGGTTATTCAGTGATTAGTATGCATGAATTGAGCCGCAAACGGGATTAGAAGTGTTTCGATGCGCAGGATCAGGGCGTAGTATCAAATGCAGTCAACCTCCTCGATGCTACTGGGATGCCACATAGGAGCCTGTAGTTGCACGAAGGTACTCGAGACAGACATGACTCGTAGTTGAGGCCACGTTGTTCTCAGTTGTAAAATGGACGAAAATGATCAACAATGCCAAACTTTTTGTCATTTTGCAGCATTAGAGGCGTTGTTTGGATAACTAAGCAGGCATGAGATGACGACGTTGTAGGTGCACAGTATTCAAAAGGGTAGCTGGGAACCAATCTGAAGCGAGAGCAAAGCGCTTATACTAGTGCTTACTAAGCGAACTGATGTGTGGACGAATCTATGACAAAAGCTTGTTCCTGTATCGCCGGTGAACGCAAAGGAGGAGACCAGACACCCCCTTCCATTCGTTGCTTTCTAAAGCAAATTCACCGAACAAGTGCTTATGCTAACCCAAGTTACGGATACTTAGTGTCGACACGATTATTAACCGATTTAGCGTAGATCCAGGCTGTGGCTGAGTGCAGGTCTACATGTCAGCCAACTTCACAATTCCAGTAAAGCGCCCAACCTCAAGACTTACTCGTCAGTTAAACTGTTATCTCGCGTCGGAACGCCGGCTATCGAATACCGATTGCAACTGCTCTCACTATGCCATAAAGGCATTGGGGGTAGCTTGCTCCTAAGATCGGTCTACATGAGACGTGCAAGGATCGCGAGAGTCCAATGTCGTGTTTGAAAAAAGGAATCTAATTGTGCCAAAAAACCCACTACTCATTAGGAATCTAATTCCACCTGGTGATTAGTTTCGGGATATGCGCAAGACCCTGCCTGGCAAAAATCAACGGTGGAGCGTTAGTGTATAATAGAGAATGTTTGATAGGGTACGGCTGAGCATCGCTGTGAGCGATGTGGAACAACTGTAGGCGAGAAAGATGACGGTTAATCTGTTTCCATACGGATCAATTTAAACATCAAGCAGGAAACTGCGAGAAACAATTCATCTGAACACTTATGCAGTACTGATTCTACGCTTCTTGGCAGCGATGAGGTTCGGCACGAATTGGTGTATATTTTTGCAAACAGGATGCTTGGAAGCAACAGCCTCCAACTACGGTTATTGGAAGACGGTTGAAACTTAACTCTAGTTAGCTTGACTGCTTTATTCAGCCATAGAGGGTTGTCCCCCGTTACTGAAATGCAGTCCGTGTTCATTTTTACTACAGGCTCCAAAATCAAGGCATCGATCCCGAATTACTCAAAAGGTCCACCCTGCAGCAGAAAGCATGTTTTGAGGCGTATATATATATATATATATATATATATATATATATATATATATATATACACTACAGAAACATGGTTATAATGGAGTGTAAAGAGGTTTGTTTCGCAAACAATGGTATATATTTTTAATGTTTCACACGCGCCATTCAGAATTTTCTTCCTTTAAAATTGAAATTTTGATGAAAAAGAAATGTTGGAGCAGCATTGACGCCACTGCCTTCGATTGCAAGCCACAGCCCCCAAAACTTCCTATCACGTAGTCCCCAACCTGAAAGACGGGTAGATCCTGCTGATGCCAAAACATGGGTGACATTCTCAATATTCCATTTCCACGTCATTGGTTGTCCGCCTACGCACTTTTCCACTTATGCCCAGGAATTGCACTTAATGCTCGATGAGGAATTCGATTGGCTGGTATGCGCAATACGTAACGGTGTGTGAGAATAATGCCTTGGAAGCTGGGACTATACGCTCCGAGTACTCGACTTCTAACTTCTGAGTTGCTTACATGGTGTTGCCACCACATACGAGCAATCGTTCGCAAGCAGCGATTGTCGAAAGATAATAGTTGTTTCAGATCTTCCACGCGAACAGGCCAGGTATCGCAGCCGTACCACAGAACCGCACGGACAGCGGCACTGTACATTACCTTTAAGCCTTAGACTGATGTCGCAGAGGCGCCACAAATGTCTCAGCTTACTGAACGCCAGACAGGATTTAGCGATTCGCTGAGATACTTCATCTTTAACACCGCCACCCTCCGTGACACAACTCCCAATGTAAATGAGGCGATTAACTTGCACCAGTAAATTAGCTGTAATTGTGAGCGTAGGTACAGCTACTTGCCAATCTTGGAGCAGTGTTTTAATTTGGATAGGGGCAAAATACAGACCATATTTAGATTCCTCGATCACCAAGCGGTTCAAAACGTTTTGGATCGTCTGTGGGTCGTCCCCTAGCAAAGCGATGTCACCCGCATAATTCAAGTCCGCAACTGTTCTCGGGAAGGAGCTCAATGCCGCAGCTCTCGGCTCCTTCCAGAGCGCAGTGGAGATTATCATCCATGGCAAAGTTGAGTGAGAATGGTGAGATGGGACAACCTTGGCGCACTCTGCTGGTAACAGCAAACGGTGAAGAAAGCCTCGCATAAGCTCTAAGTTTGCCCGATGTGTGACGATAGAGTTCTTTCAGGATTGTGACAAATTTGTCGGGTACATGGATCCTTAGAAGACAGTCTCAAAGAGATGTTCTCTCTAGGGAGTCGAATGTCCAAAAACACCGCTATTGCTGGTCTTCGGTGCAGGTGACGATGTTCAAGAATTTGGCACAGCGTAAAGATCTGTTCGATGCAACCTCGACCGGTACGAAAACCAACTCGTTCCCCATGAGACACTTGAGAGTAGCTGAAAGCCTGCGGAGCAATATGGACATAAGAACCTTAGAGGTGTAAGTAGCGAGAGTTGTGGTAGGGAACGCGCCGACCATTCCGTCATTCTCTACTAGGTGCTCGATAAGCACCATGCATACAGATACCTTACTATGATGTTTCCGTTGACTTGATTGACGGCTCCCCCTCTGACTTTGCTTAGTTTGAAGATGGTACCACTGAGGCTCTGTTCCATTCTGAACTCACTTTACGATGATTGGCAGAGTTGCGTTCGCGTCAACAGTAAGCTCTATTCTATGTTCTTCAAGACAAAATGAATGGATGAAGTAGTTGACTCCCTATTTCTCTTCAACTTTGTGTTTGAACGGATTACGAATCACTGCTAGCAGTTTTTTCTTGAAATGGAGGTTCTGCCAGATGACCGACATGCTAATGTGATCAGATAATACAAACCTCCTAAGGGTCAAACCAGTTTCTGTACATGGTTTTTTTGGTAAAACGATGAAGATCACTACCCAGTTCAGCATGCGCTTTACATATTCAAGGTGCAGGAAGGCCGACGTACCTCTGATTCTCACAATTACTGAAAAGCTGCAAGTCGACAGGCATACTAATCTGTGCAAATTACGAAGTAGGAGAGGGATTTGATTGGTATACGCAGTCATTACATCTAGACTCAGTCAGACAGCCATCACACCCCCGAAAAAGCACTATACGGCCGTTTAATTACTTCAGGAACTGTCACCCATGCGCATCTCCTGTTTGGTTCGAAGCCGCAACTCGACAGTTGTCAGTCTGTGACTAGGACCAATGAGCTACGTGGGACTGTAACGACCGTCGAGACTAAGTTGCTATAGGTAATATAATGCCGCTCACTATCCAGTGACTTGCACGTTACTGCCGTGCAAAAGAGAGGATATCCCCCTCACATAGCCAAGAACTTATTAAGCATGGTGAGAAGGGTTACCCTGTCCGAGTGTGTGGTGGCTGTCTGACTGGAGCTAGATGCGATGAATTTCCACTTAACTGTGTGGCTGCGTGAATCACTGCACACATTACAGCACGCGCTAGTACCTTTAGTGTAGCATTTCAAAGTTCCATTCATCTATGATGACGACGGTATGGTTTATACCCACCAATAAGTACGGTTATCTCCGTAGAGCGTATCTTCATTTTGCGCCGGCCGTTGCACAGGTTCAAAAGGGTCACCTTATCTGTCTCACAAAGCAGTGTGGGTATATGAAATCATGCTATCATTGAAGACCCTTCCTTTCCACCGCATACAGTCCTCCGGTACTCATTAGTAACGTCTTACGTAGCACCCAGCGTGACAGAAGCTGCAATTCAGCGGTTATTTGGTCATCTGCATCCATGTCCCACAGCCCCCAATAGTCTTCGCCAGTAAAGTCCCACCAAGCCATGCTAACTGTCGGGGCTCGTAACATGGGACAGATGACAGGCTGCACTTACACGTACATCGGATCGTCTGGCGTTGACGTGTGTTGCGTTTCCGGAAATGGAATTGACGGCGCTCATGCGAGCACAAACCAAACTGCCCTGACCCTATCCTCTCGTTATCGATAGTACGCAGTTACAGTGACCACAGGTCAAGATGGAGTGAGCATCGTTGTCAACTCCATGTATGAGGCATGAACAGTTGATTGCATTCCTACGAACAATCGTTTGTGCGCAACTATCACCCAAGTAGAGAGCACGGATCAGCGTTGGAAGCTATTCGATTGTTGTTGTTGCCCACCCCGGGTGACGCTAGACGACCTACACCAAAATGGTACTAGCTCAGAGAAACTACTCTTCGCCAGATTTATGAATGCTCACGCTACCTACAAGCGCGATGATGATGGCTGGTAAGCAATGGACCTAAACCGGTGGCATCGTCAGTGGTCCTGAATGACATTCTTTCTTCGCTGATTGCTGCAACTTTTGGAACATGCGCGTTGATTCTGGCCATAACCGAGTGTGCCACCGGTTTTCTTTGAACTTTGTAAGGGAACGGCAAGAAACTGTCGAGGGCTACGGTTAGGATACTTAATAACAAAATACTTAGTGGATTAACCTTTCATTTAAAAGTCTTGCGACTATATGCAGCCGTTGCACTGAACACTGGATATCCGAAGAGTGAGTGAAGCCTATAAATCACAGGAGAGACAGCTAATGTCGGGGTATCATGTACACAGGTTGGCTTTCATGTGCTAACCAAAGCGGATCATGCGAACTGATCGATGGGCTCACGGGGTTCGAAAAATTAAGGGTGTAGGAATAGTCGATAACAACAACAGAATTTTCCAATCAATTCACGTCATTGGTCCCAAGAAATTATCCATCAATGGGGTAACATGAGATGACATCGAAATCATTATTCCCAATAAGGAATGCCACTTGACTCACTAGGACGTGCAGTTCGGGTGGTATCCTGTATCTGAATCACCTCGACCTCAGTCAGCGCACGTTAAGCTAAGACAACCTGACAACTCCGGCTGAAATTGAGGCTCGAAACCCGGCGACATATGTTGCTGGTTCGGACTTCGTGGTAACCCTGCTTAAGGATGGTAATGCTGCTAACTGGAAAGTTACTTGTCTGTTCGAGGTATGGAAGAAGGAAACTGTCCAAACCAATCACGGAGAATCGAGATGGTGGTAATATTTAGAAAGAGCAGTTGCAGTGCCTGTTCTAACCATGCGGGTATCATTTGATGTCGATAATGGCAGGGCTGTTGGTTTCTGCTCTCGCCCGTTAACTCATGGAGGGAAGAGAATCCCTCATGAGAACAGTAGGCAGGCGTTCGACAACGACGGAACTGTTCATACCATACTGCCACTCTGCATAAGGAAGTAAAGCAGCGTCACCGTTACTGCAGGCCGTCCACTGCTGTGTTGCTCAGCCTAAGAAGTGCGTACGAATCAGTCGATCGCTTTGCTCGATCCGAGATACACGCCTGTGAAGATGTTCCCACAACAAACGTGGACATTTGACTTGTTATATACCCGAACACCGCTTTAGCGACAACAAGTTGTATTCGTCAGGGTTATCTCATTTACATATTACTGGCTAATTTACGGAATACTGTATCATGTAAAGTACCTTTGTGGGGTCTCAAAGTGCGTGAGAATAACTGGATTAGCTGGATCATGAATAAAAGAAACGAGGCATTAGCGGCGGGTTAATACGGTGTACAGACGCTTCGCTGCCACGCAATCATCATCACTCGCGTGCAAGCTACAAATGCTTCGAGATCACCCGCAGCTACGCTGATTCGAACCGGTGACCATTGGGTTACAAGGCAGACGCTTCATCCTCTCACTCACCAGCCAACCTGGAACATAAGGATGACATCGCTAGACACCGTAAAATATGGACAAACTCCCCGAACTTGCGCTAAGCATTGGCATGCGCGTGAAGTGTCGTTACAGGATCGCTGGTCTCCTGAACGTTGATAACGACGAAATAGAGATAGACGATCAAGTTACAAGGTTGCTGCAGTATGCCAGCCGAACTTCTCGCTAAAGTTACCTGTGGAGCAAGGCTGATCGTCATGTCAACCGTTGAAGACCACGGACATCACTTTCGTAGGATAGCTAGGTGCTTGTGACCGTATAATGTTGGCATGTAGGTGTCCGGACTCTGAATATTTGAGAGGAGCATTCAAGATTTACACTTATCAGCCCTAATTCGTGGGGTCATTAAGTTTGTACAACAACAAGGCGTCAGTACGAAGTGCTTATGTGTCACTGCTGCCCTTGTTATTGCTAATAATGCTGCAGGCGCTAGGCAAGCACTCGCTGAAGGTTACATATATTATCAGTGGACCCGCTGTAGTAACGAGAAACGTCTTGGATTCCACTTCACGATTCCCTAATGGATCAGTGGGTAACCGCGGCGTAACACTTAATAGAAGTGTGGAAGTATTAGTGAATCCGATATCTTGGTTAGTAACAAGGTTTATCGACCCTCTATAGAAGTGGGAAGGACGGTGGGTAACCGTTAGCATAAAACAATCCTCGGTGGGTGGCATCATTCCATTAGGTAGAGCTCGTGCACGAAGAAGTCGAGGGGCTCGGGTACTAGCCATCCATCTCGATTCGGAAGTTTCATAACTATTCCTTAAGACAGATATGTACTCAGTCATTCCTAGGCACTGCAGTAAATAACTACTGTTGAAGCATGGGTGCGCTGCTGTTCCGGACAAGTGAATTCATGGTGGCGCGAGCAATACTTTGGCAGTCACCGAGAACTGGTGCATAAAACAAATCAACTCACCTGTTCGCATACAGCAAGTAGTTGTAAGTCTGGATGTCTTGGTAATGTATCTGGTCCGATAGGATTGGCCCGGTTTACAGGAACCCAGAAAACCAGGCGACCTCCAGGTCTGAGTAAACGGGAACTCAGAGCAAGTAGGTCACTGTTAGCTTCATGCAGTGGGTACTCTTCCTGCAATCGAATGTCGAAAAGCAAGATATCAGTAATCTAGTGAGTTTGTCATTGTTGAAGCACTATCAATAAGCGATGGAGCTGGCTGCGTCAAACGAGCGCATAAGACCGAACTGAAACAACTGTAAGTCTTGTCTAAGGTACAAGTAAGTGAGCTCAGATCGATACAGCAGGTCTATGATAGGTAGGGAAAATCTGCGTGGCCACACCCATCAAAGGCGCCGAGCTCAGAAAAGACAGGAGTGGTTCGGCTACTTCAACGCGAGTCGCTTATCAACACTGCACCTCTACACTGTACTCACGAGGTGATCAGTCGACGAAATGATAAAAAAGCAGGAAGAAACTCGCCAAGAAGCCAGTTAAGGTTGACACACGTCCTGCCTGTTGATGTGGCCCTTGGGAGCAGATATGTGAACGGATACGGTACGCTCAAGAGTACTTGCTTTTCTTCTGTCACTGAATTGCGACTATTTACCAAAAGCTTTTAATATTTTATTCCTTCCTTTTGAATTACCAGATCCCAGTGATCGGATTGGCAGAGACTGACTTCAAAGTCAACCGAGTCTACAAATTGAGATTGCGTGCCGCAATCCAAGATACACGGTGGGTGCTCCAGAACCCGAAGATTCACTTTTAACCGCTGTGCCAAGCACTGCTCGTGGAGCTCAATGACTTAGTGATCATGGCGATAGCCGCCAAGCACTATGTGCCGAGCTCCACTCCCGGAAGACACCAGTATTTTTATTATCAGATACCGTGCATGGGACACAGCTGATCTCATGAATGGAACTGAGGCGAACAGGATACAGGCTGTGAGAAGTAATATACCGTTAATCCAGAAGACAAATGACTGCAGAATTAATGAAGTACGTTGACAGCTATGTGATATAGTTGACGTAATTAGAGCGAACCTATTTAGCTCGTCAAACCTACATGTACACAAACCGCAAAATTCAAGGTGGCGGATGGTGTTAATTGATTACATGGAAAATGTTTAATGATATACCAATGTAGGCGTATATGCGTAGTCAGTTTATTCCGGGTTGTGGAACAATACTATCACTGTTTTCAGAGAAGGGGATCGAACGGACTGTTCCTTAATCGCTGATGAGGTGTGCAGGGTGTTACATTTTGAATAAACAAGGTTAATGAGGATCCACCGGATTTCGCCGTATATAATGAAAGTATTCGGGAGGAATGAGGCCATCTGTATGGAAGAACCACGATTATACAATATGTTCGGGCACATTAATGCTCAATGAAAAAGCAACCGTAATGGATGAGGTAGTTAGATAAACACAGTGAGTACAGAACCTAACCAGAAAAGCACGAACATTGCTGACAGAAGACTGTAAGAATGAAGAGCGGTTGAGTCGAACTCACCTTATGTGGGAAGTGAGGCAAATCATGAGGCACTTCTACCAGAGTCTGATCATCAACACAACGGCCGCTATCAGTAAACAGAAAAAGAAACAGTGAATGGTGAATAGACGCCAAAAGGAAACAAAGGCAGCCATGACAAAGGCCATACTTTCCTCGTTATCAAGGATGCCCATACCTTAGTGTCTCCGCAACAACCGCAGTACATCTTTATGGACAAGGCTGTGAGAGCGAGGATCATTAGTGGATGACGGACTTCTGGTGTGGGATGGGATAAAGAACAAATCAGGAGGGGTCATTTTAAACACACGTTGTGTGAATGGATTACCCGATCTCAATGTGGACTGTGAGCGGCACTGAAGTGAACCGTGGTCAAATCGATCACTGGGACCGTAACTGAAGCAGCATGAAACCAGTCGTGGAGCGTAGTGTTTTCCGGGGGGGGGGGGGAACCGAATATCTGTCTACTTCAGCAACGGTCCCAATGATCAAACTGGTCAATGTTCACTTCGACGCGCTTCGCCAATCATACCAGAAATACGCGTCGCAATCCATTAACACGAGTGCCACAAAATGACGCACAAATCAGTCATTAACCGTTGTGGCCGGTCTGTAGCCTTAAGAATCACAGGCCTGCCTTATAATCTGAGGGCGCAGGTTCGAGCCTGCGTGGGGACTGGGTGACTCTCGCAGTATCCCTAGCCCACGTGCGACTGGTGGTGGTTGTGCGACTGCTAAGCGTCGGAGATCAAACACGTGTTCCGAATCGAGCGGTAGTTTTAAACATAGCTTATCCAAAGGTCACTGATCACGAGGTGGTCAACTTGTGTCGATAGTGGTCTGAGGCTGGTGGGCGCCATTTAACTTTTCTGAAGGTACTCTGTCGGTAGTTAATGCTAGCGAGAAATAGATGAGCCTCTTCACACAGGTGTAGCAAGCACGCACCATTAACATTACGGAACCCTACGCTGTATTGGCCGAACAGATGCTGCTCATCAGTGGATAGTTTTCCAACTTGGGCGTTCAGATCAGTACAGTCCATTGATGATCTCGCTCATTTGGTGATATTTCATGGGGGCATACACAGTAATGACAAACAGCAACTATTGGCCCTGCACAACTTCAAACTTTTGAAGGAATCAATCAGTTGGATGGCGCCCCTCTGTCTGTTGAATGATTTCCAATCGATCAGGGCAGCTTCAGCCCGGGGCTCTGAGCCATATTCACCTCTTGGTCCGACATTTGGAGCTACGTTCACTCCGGATAAACACAATGAGAAAGCGCCGCTAGTATCGTAAATGGGTAACTGCAGACTGAGAATACAGCTCGAGTCTTGCAGGCGGGACTCAAAGAAGCAGCAGATAACGATCCATATGACATCTACTATTCGGGCAAGTATTGCCCGCAGCACAGTGCACACGTTGAGACATACAGTCTCATCGATGACTCTGAATAGAATGGGATGAACTGAGGCTGTACTCTGGTTGGACATGGATTTGTCGGCTGAACCGCAACGACACCCTGCGATTGTGTGTGTGACTCGAAACGAAAAAACAAGCAACGATTGAAGCAAGGCGGGGAGGGCCCGGAATTGGGGGTTAAAAGTAGCGGGATGAAAGTGAAGTTAGAACGGGACAATGGGGATGAAATAGTGCAAGTGGAGGAAAAAGAAGACGAGTATTATCCTCAACCCTATCCACCCTGTATGTTGCAGCAGATAGGGCGCTCTTGACTATCGTCTGCGACGGCCAGAGCATCAAGATATTGTTGCGCGTTGCTCGCGGATCTCAGTAGCATAGTGTTCATGGCGTCAACCGTGAATCACTAGGCTCTGAGTTCCACCGCAGCTCAGGTTATATCCACCTGAGGAGTCCAAACCAGGACGAAACCGAGGTCGTAGTGTGTTGGGAGGAGCAACACCGAAAAATTTCCATTGTTGGATGAGGTTATTGTATTGTGAAGACAGGATTATATTAGATTGACAGGTTTAGATAGGAGATTTAGGGTTCTCAGCCAAAGCTTTTTGGTTGAAAAACATGACCACAGGGCAGCGGGATTTCGGTACTGGGATACAGTCTGTTTTATAGAATAAGGAGTCAACCTCACTCCCTGAGATGTAAACGTCTCACTTACTATTCACTTAGATAACACTATCGCATTCCATTTCAGTCTACGTACTTCACTTGCTTGCTGGATTAAGCCTAGTCTCCCGGGCTCATACTCCTCTCACTCGTCGTACTCATTCAATTCAAGTTATTCAGCAAGCAATGGATCGAACTCTCCGGCCAAAAGCTTTCAATGCCAATCGCAGCAAGAGGAACTAGGCGAAATAATGTGCCCATTGGTTTAATACCTTTACTTACTTTTTTGGACACCGTTGACACCACGCTGTTCAGTTGAGGATACTGGCGAACTACGTGTCGCCTGATGCATGCGACCAGGTTAAAGAGTGTGTCATCTACGAATTCGCCATCAAAACTGTCATAAACGTCCTAGTTGGTTTCGACTGCCCTAGACGGATTCCTTTACTCGTTGGTTCCCACGTACAGAGTAGCCTAGACGATTCGAATTGGAATGGTTTGTGAACTTAGCCGGAAGCACACACACATTATACACGTTAGCTAGAGGTGGGAAACACCTCAGCTACTGTGCCGCAATATATAAAAGAAAAAAGGGAATAAAATGCAACGGGTGCAATGCAGCTGAGCAACCGGTAACGGATTGGCATCGATCCGGTAAGCTACCTGTCGGCTACTATGCAAAAGAAAAAAATAATGATTTACTATGTGGTTATAAAATGGCAAATAATGAGATCGTGGTTGGAGGGGGAGGATAAAGGGGATGGGGTAGGACAAAAAACTCAAAGCAAGAACGCCAATGGGGTCGGCTCCTTGCCATATCAACAAGTGTATCCAGCAAAACGTGTTTATGGTTTTTTGGACCCCAACCAAGGAGCCGAGACGCTCCAACTGAGACAGGTTCGAAGTGACAGCCTTCATTCTCTCGACCAATTCATCGCTTGGCCACCTCTCCTCTTCTTCCATCCACACCGCCGGCGCGCAAACAACACACGTCGCGGGAGTCGGTGGGCTGGCATGCGCAACACGTGGCCAAGCCATCGGAGTCTGTTGCATGAAATAACGGTGCTGAGCGGTTCATTTCCTTTTCCTGTGCCGTAAACAAGGCGTCGAACACGCTCGTTACTCACGCGGTGTTCCCACCAGATGTGAGCTAAATTACGAAGGCACCGGTGGTCGAACGTAACTATCCTCTTCAGGTCCGCTGATCTAAGCGGCCAGGTTTCACAACCGTACAGTAAGGTCGAACGTACCGCTGCATTGTACACTCTACCCTTCAGGGCGAGAATGATGTCGCGCCGGCGCCATAAGTGGCGAAGATTAGCAAAAGCGCCCCGAGCTTTTGCTATACGGTTCGTGATCTCATCTTCAATCCCACGGGCGCTGATACAACTTCCCAGGTAGTTGAATTTCCGAACGACTTCTAGCTGATCCCCACCAAGGGTCAGCGAAGGAGGCGGTCCATGCCAATCTTGGAGGAACGCTTTGCACTTCGATGGTGCAAAGCAAAGCACGAAGCGGCTGACAGCCAGTGGTAATCTGTCCAGTGCCGCTTGGCAACTCTGGGAGCTGTCACAGATTAGGGCAATATCGTCAGCATATTCCAAGTGAAGAAGTCGTTCTGCTGGGAGCAGATCTACATCTTCTAAGGCATGTCTTGTGAACTTGATTTCCATGACTTCGTCAATAGCGAAGTTAAAGAGGAAAGGTGACAGCGGTTATCCTTGTCTCACACCGCTGGCGATATTAAAGGGCGACGACAGCTTGCCGTAAGCCCACACTCTGCCTGCGCTACGCGCGTATAATACTCGGATAATATTTACATATTTCTCAGGTACACCTTTCCCGAGTAGACAGTCCCAAAGTGCTTGTCTATCCATCGAGCTGAATGCACCTTTGATGTCGAGGAACACGACAACAGTGGGCCGCCAATATATGTGACGGTGCTCCAACATCTGACGCAAAGTGAAGATGTGGTCAATGCAGCCACGACCTCGACGAAACCTGGCTTGCTCTTCACGAATATGGCTTTCACAAGTGCCAGTCAGTTTGTGAAGGATGACAGAGGCAATCAATTTGGAGGCGATGGAGATCAGACTGATTCCTCCATGGTTGCCGCATTTCAATCGTGAGCCTCCCTTGAAAATTGGGACTAAGAAGGAGCGGCTCCAGTCGGTTGGGACAGTCTCCTGCTCCCACAGTTTCACTAGTAACTCGTGTAAATCATCCACAAGAGCAGGTCCCCCGAATTTGAAGATGACTGGAGGTAGGTCATCTGGTCCCGCGGCTTTATTTAACTTCAACAGTGCCATATCACGTTCGACTTCTGTGCGAGAGGGTGGATCCAAAGTGACAGCCCACGGAGCGGGGCGATCAGTAGCCGGCGAGAAATCTAAAAATTCCGACCGATTAAATTGCCTTTCAAAGTGCTCAGCCCAACGTTCCAAGCGTTTTGACAAGTTGTGGATATGCTGTCCACTCTCGTCACGTATAGTTTCACTAACACCAGGTCTTCTGCTGCGCGTTTCCCGTATCAGACGGAATAAGTTACAATGGTTACGAACGGCAGCGGCCATTTCCATCTCTGAAGCACAATGAGACCACCAGGATTCGCGGTCTCTCTTCAGACTAGCACGGAGTTTTGCCCAGAGCTCTTTGCGAGTTTCACTTAGCTGGAAGACGTGAACTCGTAACTGAGAATGCAGACGGAACGCGTAAACGCCGCACAACTATACCGAGACTCGGAGAAAGGCGACTGGCCAATAGTAAGAGTGTTTTTACTGACTCAACTAAGGCTCAGGTTTTCGAACAAATCGAGACCAAGTAGGTTTGGTTTAGACCTCTTGATGTAGCAGGTAGCATAGACTGTGGTACCCCGGAATAATGTAGAGCAGTGCAGCTGCCCAGTTAGCTGCACTCGACATCCGCAGGCACTTGTAGCAGTTTGTGAGGTTGTTTGGAAAGGCAGCTAGCCAAGGGATAGCTAGAGATC